TCTACGTGAGGGGCGGGGCCGGCGTCCGGGGGGCGTGGTGCGCGTGCGCCTGCGTCGGGCGGCGTGGCGGAGAGAACGGCGTTCTTTCTGGGCCTTCGAGGTACTCGACGCCCGGATGTGGAGGGAACATGTGCTTCGCGAGGCCGCGACAGGTTAAGTGTAATGAAAGCGAAATGGAGGGCCGAGCCGACCACGCTCCAGTGGGAAACAACCGCGGAAAGGCCGAACTACAAGCTTGGAGAATAAAGTTCACCATAGTCGTAGTCAAAGGTGAATTCAGGAGCGCATTTTGCACAACATCGAGAAGCTTACGTCGACGCTAGTTGCGAACCAGGAACAGGCTTGAACATTCCGCCCCCATGACAAATTGATGGTGGGCACCCGCTGGACACTACTGTAGGTGGCCACGGAGAAGGTCCACCGTAATTGGGGGCAGGCAGATTAAAATACTAAGTGACATGTGCTACGTTTCTGCATGTGTTAATTTCTGTAATTTCAGTTTTTGCTTTTCTGTAAATCTCCCTTTTAAAAAATTATATTTTAAAAATTATTTATTTAATTTTGTTTATTACTTAATTTGACCAGACAGAGAGAAAGTGAGAAAGCAGACTACCAAGACTTGTTTTTTGGGACTGAAACCATGGTTGGCCACGTCCTTAACCACCAATGCTGTCTGTTGGCCTTTACAAAATGCATTTTTGGTGATCAGAAGAAGTAAGTGGATTGATGGAGAAGAAAACCTTTCTTGAAATGTGACAAAAATGGAATCCTGATTTAATCTGTGCACAGGTGATCACTGCCTAAGTTAGCCAAGTGCAGGCTCCTGGATGATAATTTTACAGAAACTAAAATTAGGTAAGGATTATAATACAAAGAAAAGGTGCAAGACACTTTTTTTTCCCCCTGTTGAATGTGTGGCTAATTTCTTGTACCTTGTACAGAGAGTGAAATCTGATTTTTTTGAAGGTTAGTATTTCTCCTTTTTTTTCTGAGAGGTTTTTGCTGTAGGGTGCATGTGATCACCAGAGAGACAGAGACAGAGAGAAAGTGAGAAATCGCACACCAGGTTTGTGTGTGTGCATTCCCCCAAATCCTGAGAGGAAGATGGAGGAGAAGGGATGTCCATCTCTTGTAAGGGGTGCTTTCTCATTTTTCCCTCTCTCTCATTGGCAAGTGCACATACCTGTCAGCAAAATAAAAAGAATCTCGTTTCAAGTTGGTCACAGTGTGACCTTGGGCAAGCTGCTTAACTTCATAGACTCAGTTTCCAAATCAGAAGGAGGAATAATATTCACTGCTTTTCAGCCTGTAGTGATAATTAAGTGAAGTTCTAAATGTGAAAGTATTTAGTGTCTGGCACACAGCAATCACCCTCTTTATTTTTTTTTTTTGTATGACATTCAAGGTTTTCTCCACTAGATGGTGATGGTAGAAAAATAAACCATTCCAGTAAGGCCCTTTCAAAAACTGCCTCTTATTTTACTTGGCTAATCAACTTTAAACTTTATTTTAAATCGACATAAATACAAATAAATGTAAACTTTATTGTAAGGTCAAAAGAAATGAAATCAATGTGAGAAAAGCCTAGCTTTTTAATTGCAAAAGGGTGGGCACACTCCCGAGAGAGGAGAGAGAGAGAGAGAGAGAGAGAGAGAGAGAGAGAAAGCATCCCCTAATAGGGTATCGTCATGCTGCAATTCTTTTATTCTCCATGCTGTTGAGATTTGGGGCACACACATAGTATGTTTTTTCAAGCTGCTAGGTCAGGATGTGAACCATAGTTGGCCATGTGGGATCCAGCTCACGTAACCACTGTGCTACAGGGATGCCCTCCCCGACCCCACCAAAAAAAAAATAACCTCTTAGATTGAAATTTTCTCCTTTAATAGCTCATTGATGAATTGTTTTCAGGTGACTTTGTCATTTTACTTTGAGCTCTATAGTCATCTTCTCTGTCCTCCTTCCCCAGAGTCAGAATGGGGATGAAGGATTCAGTGGTGACTCAAATGGACCTTCTGTTCTGTGACCACAACTAGAGTCTCAGCCAGGCCGCAGTGCCTACGCACAGGTATATTGTAAGGCTCCCAGGATTATTGAAGCTCTGGGCATCATCTTGCAGTCCTCGTGTTAATACCTGAGGTATGCTGGACATTTGAGTTCAGTTAATCCCATCATGACACGCATCCCGCCATCTTTATTCATCAGCCCTGAAGTTAGCACTATGGTCATTTGTTCTTCCTATCCTGTGATTCGTGTCCTCTAATCCAATTTCATGTTCCTTTTCCTGACTTTAACCTACATCCGCAGGCGTCTATGCCACATTTCTTATTAAATTTATTCTAACATGTTTTCTTGTTTTTGTGAGTAGGATCTTTTGATTGTTCTGTTTATCTTACTGGTGTTTGTTGGTTCAAAAAAAAAAAAAAAAAAAAAAACAGAAAAAAAAAGAAAAGAAAAGAAAAGAAAAAAATACACAGGCCAGCAGGTTGCGTGGCACTGTAGGGCTGACTGCACTTCTAGTCCCGGACCCAATGGCTTGAAACTCACAGTAGGCATGTGTCTGTGTGTGCTCAAAATCCGAAAAGGAGAATGGAGGAGAAGGAATTGTGGCATGGCCACCTCCCCCGGGAGATGATTTCTCACTTTTCTTCTGTCTCTCTCCAGGGAGCACTTGTGCCCAATGGTAAAAACCTAAAAGAAAAAAAAAAAAAAAGGAGAGAAAAGAAAGAAGTGCATTTTTTTTTTTAATTTCTAAAGGGCATATGAGATCTCCAGAGAGAGACAGAGAGGGAGAAAGCACCTGCCAGTGGTGTTTGCACTGTAGTCTCTTCTCTATTTCTCCTTCCCGTCAGGATTTTGGGCACTTTCCCACTCATGCCCAGTGTATTTTTCAAGCCACCAGTGCTGGGAACTGAATCACAGTTGGCCACGTGTCTGTTCCTTATCACGGTCACCTCGCTGTATTGTAATTGCCAGTTTCCATAACTGTCTCCACCTCCCATCAGCTCTGTCAGAGGATGAATGTGTCACTGCTCCCTTGGTACCAGCCACTGTGCCGGACATGTAATGGACACTAGGAGCGTGCTCAAGTGCAATCAGCTTGTTATGGTAGATGAAGACTTTATGCTGACTTGGAGATATTTAGAGAGCCCTTCCAGAGAAGAAGAACAAATGCTTTTTGGGAAGAGAGAAGACAATGTTCATTTAGGGAGAATACAGTATCGTTGTCTCTGGGAAGAAAGACTGCTTGTTTTGGGGAGCAATGGAGTTTTAGTTGAGAAAAGAAGAGAAAGTGGAGGGTATGCCACGACACCTGTCTCTTTCTCAGTTGTTGAACTGTGTTGGAACCCCGTTGTGACAGTGCTAAAGACTAGAAGTGCACAGACCACTCACAGGGAGCTGGGCAGTCTGGACACGAATGGTTATGGCTCCAGGATCTAGATAACCCATCAGCCCTGAGTTGGGGAGAAGGCCATATTCTCAGGCTCTGCTCTTGCCCCGAGGATGGGCAGCTTGGATAACAGAAACCTATAATCATACTGGAAGGCTGTGGCTGTCCACATGGGCACATGGGAGCCACTCTGAGGACTTCTCTGAAAT